AAAAAACAAACCTGCATAGAAATCGGAATAATAGGTCTTTTGATTATCGGAGACGCATTTCAATGGACTTGATTACGGACAATGCATAACTTAAATTTCACCAGGAAATTCCGCAGTGTGCTCTCGCAATCGCGTACTTAGTCATTTTTACAAGGTTCGCCATTTTTGATGTCACGTGATAATTATGTAAACAATGTCTGTCCAGTTTGTGCGAACTTGCACCTCTATACTTAGTCTTTTGATATATATATAACCTAAATTACTGTTCTGAACGAGACAACAGACAGAGAATGTTTTATTTAAAAACGTCACAAAACCTTCTCGCTACCTTAAAAACTGCAGAGTCATAAGATGTTTTTGGTTGATTTCGACCAGCTCGCCATCTGGTCTTGTCATTAACCTTTATCAGTATATGTCATGGCAACCACTGTCAAACTGACTGAAATATAAAACATGATACTTGAGTCCCAAGTGGCAAATACAACAGATTGTTTATTTACAAATTCGAACACTTGTTGCGTGACGACCCCTCCGGTTTAAAACATAGCAAAGAAAAACGTAGATCACAAGTGAAAGTAAAACAAATTGAGGTACATGTCTATGTTTTTGCACTTACTAAAATTGTTTAAAGTATGTTTGAGAAAATGCAAGTCTGAGGATCAGAATGAGGCACTAAAATTACATTACCATACATCTCATGGATATGAATGCTTTTTGCCATGGTCCCCTACAATAAATCTTTACATGGGGCTTATAATGTTAACATTTGAGATTCTGGGATAGGAAATACAGCAATCGCAACTCTTTGTAATTGTGTTGTTAGTTCTGGACTAAAGTGGCTAATAGACCCTTTGTACAAGTCAAGCGCTTGTGTTGAATAATATGATGAAGGCAGTGTCCTCAAATTTGCAGTTTAATAAATATCAGTTCAAAATAATGCATTGAATACAATTTAACGTTTGTCATGCCTCTAATTTAAATTCACATGGCAGGTGGTGTCAAACAATGGTGATCTATCTGTGAATTACACTTGCCCATCTACATCATAAAATTAAAAGAACTCCCCCCGCAGGGGGGGTGTTCGTAAATGTATTAGTGTAAAACGTCCATATCAGTCATCCTTGATCCGATTTGGAAACAAATTGTCATGAACATATATCCTAAGAATGTCCAAGATCTAATATGTATAATCTATGTTAGTACCAAATTTGAATGAAAATCCACAAAACATGTCCAAGATACGACATTTTCAAAAAACAAGACGACTGCCAGTCGGCCATTTTGAGTCATATCGCTAAACCATTGCATGTGCATATGTCCCACATAAAGTACTAGACACATGCAAAGAATGAACGGAATCGGTCCAAGGGATTCTGAGATATGACTCCGGATTAATATGTATATGTTAGTAATACGATTGCTCATAAAAAAAGAGTTTGAATCCCATTGGTCCAGAATATACCGTGACAACTTCCTTGTTACTGCCTTTAGACAAAAGGATAAAACATACTTAGTGCTCAGATTACGAACTTCAAGTCGACTGTGTCTTGCTGTTCTTAAATAAACCATAAAATATTCTCATAATACCGACGTTTTTTTTTTGTTTTTTTTGAAAAATCTAAAAGTTTCTACAAGGCAATGCAGTATGAACACACATCAATAGTACTAGAACAATTCCAACATTTGTCTTGAGTAACATCGTTTTCCATGGTTACACAGCTCGTTATGTTCAAATTATTGACAGCTAAGCACATTGACAGCGAATCAAATTGACATCATGTATATTGCCTACTGTCATACGCTGACTACACGTTATATTTATACATACTAATGTCTTGGTGATCGTCGAGCTGGTTACTGTCTCCCTGTAGTTGTTATTTGAATAACGTATGTGAGTGACCTAACTAGAACTCGTTTTCACACTTTTACACTGGTTCTTCAAAAAAGAGTATTCGACAATTCTACACAGTGTGAAATTATACTAACAATTCAATGTAATAATAAATACACGTCTCATCAACGAGGGACAGCTGTTATACCAGCCTGGATGCTGGCTTAGTATAGCAGTGTAATTTACTAACAAGATCTACTTATTAATAAAAAATCATTGGAAGTTACACATGGCACTGTCAACTTCCGATGACTATGATTGTTTTTACTGGAACCACAATAACCGATTTTATCTGTTACGGTAATGAACCACTTGCATTTTCCTGTCATCTGGTCAATACATTTCAGTTGAAATTTAAACATGCGAGAAAAATAACGCACTGAAATTTGTCAATTTTCAATAAGTAAAGATGAACTTAAGAACCTAGTGTATATAGTAATACTTACTACCAGAAATCCGCAAACAAATAACCCTAATGATTGTATCTCCTTCGTTAGTATGTATTGATTGCAGGTTAGAAATGGGAATACGGAATTGATAGTTAAATGGCGCCAGCATCCGTATTTGCATATATATTAAACGCTAACCTTAAGTAGATTTGTTACGCTTATTATAACGAATCTGACTCTCCTTATGTTGGGCGATGATGGTATCATATTGAAACCCCGAAGATGATATTTCGTCTATTGGGAAATCACCATATGCTATGACAGTTAACATGGAGTGCGTTCGCGGTGCTCGTAGAAATCCGTGGCAATGAAAGAACTCTCAGAATAGTTGTGCACGCGGACCGGGTCCGGGGAAGTATGATTACGTGATTGTATTACATACTTGTGTAAAATGATTTGTGTATAAATATTGTCTGTTGCATTATAAGTTTGAGGAAATTACAATTTCGTCTTTTAAAAACTGTCTACTATTTAAAAAGTTTACTTAAATCACGGAATTCTTTAACTTTGACCGTGACCTAATCAACAGAAGCTATTAATCGCCTACTTGGTCAAACCATATAACATATAAGCTTTCATATGACAATTTTCAATTAAGGCGAGGGGTCACGTAGGTACACATGTATGTATGTGAAATTGATGTATTTAATAATATGATAACCGAATACGCAACTTTTAGTTATGTGAATAGAATTATAGCGAAACCAAACTTTTGAACCAAAATTTTGAATGGCTAACTGATACGTTTACCTTGAGTGCTTGCGTCACTCTCAGTACTTTTATTGCCTGAGTTGATAATATTTACTACTGGTTAGAGGAATTCACGAATTAAAAACGAATCAATCACGAATAAAAAAAAACGAATTAACGAGTTTAATAATGATCAAGAAGCCTTCCAATATACTGAAGTATATTGTGTTTTATGGTGAGTTTGACTAAGAGATCTCTTTCAGCATTGAACAGAATGCGGCGGCCACAATAAAAGTGAACTATTGCATGTAGTAAAAATATTAACATACCTGAAGAATAAATAACGTAGCAGGGCACATCACTTTACCGAATATCCAATGGCCGTACATAATAGTGGTGAATGTGAATGGCATAGAAAACACGGCCATCGTTAGATCAGATACCGCGAGATTAAGTAGGAACGCATTGAGATCGCCTCTACAGCTACAATGTCCACACAGTAGAACAACGATGACTGCAGCATTACCGGTGATAGACAGTGTCACTGTGATACAACATGCTATTATCAGGATGGTCTGCCATTCCCTGGACATTGCCAAATCAACGTAATCATAATTATAGAAGGAAGAAATGTGAGAATGATTACCGTTGTTATTGTCACTATTAAACATTCCGAGAAACCAGGAAAGGTTATATATATCATAGTCATAGTAATCCATTTTCAGTTCGATGATGGCAATACAGGAAAGTATGGTTTTCGTACTCTGGTCTCCAGTGTAGTAGTGACGAACTGCTCAGATAAGAAGATATGTGACTGGAATGAAATATAACGTTAGTTTATGAGATGACTATATGTATACAGCCAATCCAAGTATCCAGTTACCATACATAATAGCAGTGAGGTATGTGTTCGGCATTTGTAACACAATCACCCTTTGATTAAACATGCAGGATAAGAAAATGAGAATTGAGAAATATAATGTTATAGCTTGTAAGATTAGCAACGGCATGGCGCACACGTGGTAATTTAATATATGGTAATCTGTAATGTGTTTTAAATGACACACAAATAAATGAAAACACGCGGAAGCAGAGTAAAGTATGATAGAACTCGACACATCTCATCTGCCAAGACCATCAGTGTATATTCATTTGCGTGAAATATAGTAAAATATCAAAATAATCACAAACACAGTAATGTCGTTATCGTTTTCATTTCAATCAATAGAGTATATCTAAGATCGTTGCTTGCGGTATTTGTAGCGACTTTGATATCTACCGTCATACGCCCCCTGTATGGACAGGAAGTTTTGTTTGAGGTTCAATCTGTAAACAGGCTTTTATCAAAAGAAGCACTTTTGAGGTCAACATTGTCACACAAATATCCACAGCCAGGATGAAATGTGTTTCAGTACAATTAATTCCAACCATCAATGGTCTTAACAAGTTTTTTACTTTTATGCGACACAGTCGCAAAATAAATTATATCAATAGTATATCCTTATCGACAAGACAACACCATGTTGATTCATATTAAAAGAAAATGTTAATCGAAACCATGCATATAATATCTTATTTCTATGTCTATAATAATGTTTTCGTTTTATCTTAACTGTAAATATAAGATCATATGATTTTGTTTATTGTCTCGACTTAGAGAGACTCGGATGCATACCATGTCAGATGCATAACGAATGGCAGTATACGCAGGAACATCCAGTTAGCCACCGCCACAAGATTTAGACAAATCATCGTATTCAAATATATCATCTTGTATGATGTATGTACATTCATGATCTCTGACAATGTACATTTTAATAGCCTACAATACAATACGATACAATACATGGTTCAATGTATTCGACATTTATATATTTCTTTTATAATTATATGTTTGTTTTTGCAATTTGCATTGCGTTTTCTGTTGAGTATCGCTATCGTAGCAGTATAAACCGGAAGTTATAGTTTTCCTCTATAGCGTGTCATGGATTGAAATAGTTGTGTGCTACAGCAAAATAGATTAAAGGGAAAAATTTTACTGCAGAGTTTTTAGTACGTCAATCAATAGTTTCGCTACAATAATTTTAATAACAATAATAATAATAATTTTAATACAAATGGTTTATTGTTAGTTAAACATTAGTGTCAGATCCACAATTATATTTATGTCACGTCTGATGAACTGGATATATTACAACAGCGGACACAAATAATAGGGCTATATCTTTTCTTCAAGGCGAAGGCACATATTGCTTCAATGTTGTAGACAAAATGGCTAGAAAGTCGCAAATGTTCTAGTTAAAACGTCTAGTTAAAAACGATTAGGACATATAAGCGGCAGTAAAAGTTCTTTACAACCGTTCTGAAAATTATTCGGACAGTCAGTTAGCAATATATCTTGAAACTTTGCAAAACACTTTGATTTTTGTCCAATCTAGACTTGATGGCGCCGTTGTATTGGCACGCCCACAATTGGGATCATGCGGGTAAAATGCTGTATTTTTTTAAACAACACGCGTTGGTTACCATAATTAACATGTTATATGTTGTACATGCATTCAAGGTATTATTTTAAATTGTTATAACCATCTGATTCCCCCGACATTCCCCCGACAATTTAGAAAACAACCCCCGAGTGTTGAGTAACCCCATGTATTAATGAACGGGAAGGCTCAAAATGAAAGTTTCTTAGAATTGGACGCGCTGCAGTTTCGCGACAGTTTTGAACCAAACTAAAAGCTGTTTTTACATTACTGGTGCATTATGTATCAAATTCAGATTTCATATCGAGGTGGGAGAGTACGTTTGGGTAACAGACATATTTGTCGCTCAGTTGAAACATTTTGTTTATATATTCTAATTTTCAATAAAGCATGTCAATAAAGTATTTGTCATGTTATTTTGTATTATGTTTTTGTTTCTGCTGATAAAATGTAAATATATGAAATATTTTTTCATAATATCATTCAGAAATGTAAACAGACATACAATACAGTGGTTATGTTTCACTGCAATACATAGAGAATAATCTACATATGATAAATATAAAATAGCCTAGAAGCAAGACCAATTATATTTCGATCCCATGTATCTGTTTTGCACCATTTGAAATCCCTAACTTAGGAACTCTAATAAATGATAACGAATTTTGAGATTGTTGGGTGCTTTCATGTCTAAACACAACCATAGTCTGAGAAGGGGTATATATTTTGTTTGCACAATTCAAGTTGTTATTAAAAAATGGTATTTGTTTTTACCCTCAGATGTGATAACCTTGAATCAATTTCCAACATTTCATTTCAATCAGTAACACATTTTCATCACATTAATAGATTAAGATAATTATGTTTCTATGGTAAAGTGAACACGAAGACGGGTGCTGTGACTTGTTTCCCAATGGGAAATCAAAGTCAGCGTTTGTATCAGTTAAGCAATGGCGTAATATTAGACGACAACATGTACTGGTTCAAATTTGAAATTGATGCAAGTTGTCGTCACAAGTTCGCTCGAGCTTTTTGGTGCGCCCAATCAAATCATTCCAATTAACTTAGGTCAAATACAGCTATCAAGAACGAATACGTAGAGAAACCCACGGATGGTCGGCTTTCGCCAAACAGTGCTAGTCATTGTAATTATATAGGGTGAACACTTACCGCTACGCTATATATCTACTACCTCCGGTATGGTGTAGTTGAACTGTGATTATTGATATGTCGACTCGTCGTTTCGATATTCCCTAATGTTAACGAATTAATATTTCTATCAGGTTACAAAAGTTGATTAAGACCTCTACAGTATTATTCTTTTATCAAAATAAATTTCGGAGATGATACACAAATGCCACGTTCATTGACATGCATTAACATCGCATACAATGTTTAAGAATGATACTATTTAATGGCATGTTCATTGTGTGATTCCCATTACATATTATAAATTTGCTGAGCTTAATGAAGACTTACAAAATAAGATAAAAGTAGTGGCATCACATAAGCTAATAATTGATGTTATCGCTGTTACTCAAATTTAAAAGATGTTTGTTATTCACGCCGGTCGTTAATTCTGTTATGTTTGTCCAGATTACAAAAGAAATCGTATATTTTTAGAGACTCTTTAAAATTGATACCTGTTTTCTCTCCATTCTCCACTACCGTAACATGTTTGTTTCTTCTTAAAAGTCTCGTTCATCGACAGAAACATAGTTAATAGTTTCTTGGCTTCCCAAAAATGCGATTGCTCGGTGTGATAACTTTTAATGAGAAAAGAAGAAAATCCACTGACCATACAAAGTACACATAGTAAGATTTAGTTAGCTAGTTTTCTTCAATACATATTTATTTGGCAAATCAAGAAGATCTTGTCAATAGAAATAGTCATCAATTATACCAATAAATGTGTCCGGAACACTTTTTCGTTTCACCATCACAAAACTCTAAGTTTACACCAAGCTATTGTAATATGGTTCATTACAAGTGAATAGCGTGACCATTTGGGTAAACTGACAATATCTCTTGACAATAATTTCAAAAAAATAGTGAGTAAAGAGATACGAGAATGGATGGCGATGAAACAAACCATTTCAGTCAGATTGTCATTCAACAACCTGATTTAAGATATCAGCTTTCTACCACTTCTGATTTCCACTATGTCAAAGGAGTATAGAGTAATAACTACAGTGAACTACGAGGTTATTACGGGGATACCTCAAAGTATGCACGAAGACAGTACAGCTAGAGTATCGGCCGTAATAATCTTATTATTATTCATATTTTCCTTCCAAGGATACACCGAAATCCGAAATGTTTAGTACAGAATTAGCGAACTTCTTTGTGTGGAGTCCGGTCAAACTCTGATGGCAGCCATGTTTGTTTTTATTATTATAGGACACTTACAAGTGTAATCATTCCATATTTGGAATTCGCATTTCCTAATATGGTAGGATGTAAATACCCCATAAAATACCGCAAAATTGCGGCACGCAGTATCTTATAATAATTAATAACTACACGTTTGCAGCGCGAAGCGGCTTGCTTACCTAGCATTATTAAACTCGGTAATATAATTCCTGGAAATCTGATTACTAAAGTACATTGAACATTTAGCATAAATAGTTTACTCTAACAAAACATGAATCAACTTCATAATTCGTTGTGAATGTTGTTGGTTTTTCCCGCGAGTGTGAACGTATGACATTTCTTATTGCTGGTTGTATGTTATAATTCTCTCCACTTTAAATAATGCAAGGTAAGCAAGCCACTTGTGCGCTGCAGACGTGTAATTATTAATTATTATTATACATACCTTAACGCCATAAGATACTAGTATTTTGGCTGAATTGTGACACATTTTGACACAACAATTGCTGAATGGAGTGACGAGCTCCACTCGAACATTATATTTAAAATAATGCACCAATATATATACAATA